CCTATCCCGTTTAGCGTTGATATTGAGGACGAGGCCCAATTACAGGGGAATGTCGACAGGTGAGTCTGATCGATCATCTCCTGCCTTCCCTTCCTTCCGCTCCCGTATGAGATTGGATGATGGTGGGACGGACCTAGTATTTTGTATACGTTCGCGACGAGCTGCAATGGCGATTGTTCAGATGTGCAGAAACGCAGTCTTGTGGGGTTCGTGGGAGGGATTAGATTGACGAGTGAGGAGTGCCTTTACCCGAGGTCATTGCACTAGAGTGCCTGATCCTTGCTTTCTTCCACGGAGTCGAGGAGATATTCACTAGGCCTGGCAGGTGTTGAAACAATCGTGTCCAAGTAACGAAGACTGGTGCCTAGTTAAGTCTACCTCACGGCGTCTAGTACTTAGTACTTGGTATTTTAACAGCACGAAAGCACGTGACCTCGCTGATAAATCTGTAGACTTCGGGTACTATTGTGTCATACTGTCTCCTATTCACCTGATTCTGGCGGTTATTCGTACATACTGTATAGAAGACCAACAGCATTCATAATTAGTGAGGAGACAACATAGCAAACTCCAGTAAGATATCAAGGCGTAATTTTTCTTGCAAGTTATGTGGTAGTGCCATGAGAGCACGGAATTTTTGTTATTTCTAGTCTGGGTATTAAACTGGGTGACTATCCGTAGGGTAAATAATAAGGAATAGATTAAAACGGACTTTAAAACATATTTGCAAAAGATAATCTGAATAGAATACTAAACCGTAGCCTATATGGAATAAACTAATCTGTATTTTCTTGGTCAGAACTCCGATGGAAGACGTACTGCTACAGTACGCTCTGGTGAACGACGCTGAAGAGATGGCACTTCTCGATGATGAAGAAGATGCCACAATGTTAGCAGCCATGCTCGTTGCCGGCGCTGAGCTTGCTCGACTCGATCGCATCAATACACGGAACCCTAGAAGACTTTACCTTTGTCGTGCTCAGCTACTTCCTGATCCACATTGCAATACTCCATGGCAACTACTGTATGAAAGCCAGAATGATCGTGCCTTTATTACCACCATGGGCATTGATGCCCCGACTTTTGCATTCATTCTGACTTCTGGCTTTGCCAGCCAATGGTACGAGAGGCCCGTCACACGTCCTGACATCAATTTGCATGGCATCGCTCGCCTGAATCGGCGTTCACTTAATGCTGGTGGGGTACTGGGCCTCATACTTCACTATCTCAACTCCACCATGCGGGAGACTAGCCTCCAACAGATATTCGCTTTGGTTCCCGCCACTGTTTCCCGCTATCTCACATCTGGACTGCCCATACTCTTACAAACTCTCCGTTCTATGACTGATGCCCGAATTCAATGGCCACGGGGACCCGATTTTGAACAGTGTAGTGTGCTCGTGATCGCACGTCACCCACGACTGCAAGGCGCCTTCGGAAGCATCGACGGGCTCAAATTGCCTGTGCAAACTTCCGAGGATGATGAGATCGAAAATGCTACATACAATGGGTGGCTTTCTGAGCACTTCATAAGTTCCGTCATAACATTTTCAGCTGAAGGTATGTTTTCTCGTCTTCTGCTATAGTTTGTACTTAATTTTATATTCACAAAGGCATCGTGATTGCAGCCAGGACCAATGCGCCTGGTAGCTGGCATGATTCTCGCCTCGCATCCCGCATCTATACTCAACTTCAACTCCACACGCCTCCCGACTATTACATTGTCGCAGATACCGCCTTCCCTCGTGGAACGTCCTCCATTAATGGGCGCATTCGTGCACCTCTGAAACATGGCCAGGTTTTACATGGCTCAGTTGCTGAGATAGCGGAACAAATGGCATTTAACCGCGAACTACTTTCTTACCGTCAAACAGCAGAATGGGGTATGCGTGCCATTCAAGGCGCCTTTGGAAGGTTACGTCTACCACTCAATATTGCTAACGAAGAAGCTCGCAGCAATCTCATCGAAATATGTCTTCGGCTGCACAATCTCCGTGCCATCCGCGTTGGAATCAATCAGATATGGACCGTGTACACGAAGCTTTGGCAGGCTACAGAGGATGATATGGATGTGTGGCGAGACTTTGAGAACATGCTATTTTTGGACCAGAGGAAGAAAGATCGAGTTTCGCGCTTCCATGTCACCTTGGAATACCAGTAGATAGGATTGTCTAGTACTGCTGCATGTTGCCCGTCTCGTACATAGGATAGAACAGTGATCTAGTACTGCTGCATGTTCCCCGTCTCGTTTTGAGTATCAAAAATTGATCTAGTACTGCTGCATGTTCCCCGTCTCGTATCGAGGATTGAAAATTGATCTAGTACTGCTGCATGTTCCCCGTCTCGTACATAGGATAGAACAGTGATCTAGTACTGCTGCATGTTCCCCGTCTCGTTTTGAGTATCAAAAATTGATCTAGTACTGCTGCATGTTCCCCGTCTCGTATCGAGGATTGAAAATTGATCTAGTACTGCTGCATGTTCCCCGTCTCGTATCGAGGATCGAAAATTGATTTAGTGTTGCTGCGTGCTGCCTGTCTCATATGAGAGGGACAAGAGGACAGACGAGAGGACAGTCAATTTTTCAAATGGTACATTGGTACCCTAAACACACTGGGAAACTACATAAATCGTATTGTACAATCAAATCTCTTTCAACCCTTCCTTCAAATCTCTTGCGACCCTTCCTTTTGAATGGGCTTGGGCAGTTCATCAGCCAAGTCCTCAAAGTATGGGCGATCAGAATACTTGTGACGTCCAGATGGCCCAACTCTTCGAAGGCGGGGAGGCTTGGGAGCCTCGGGGACCTCGGATGTGGTACTTTCACCCTCATCTGTGATCCACCTGATGGATCCCCCACCCTCAGGGTACCATTCCTGCTGTAAGTTCTTGCGTTTGGGCATCCGGATATGCCGACGGTGTGTGGATCCAGTCATCTCAATCATCTCGATGCGAAGCTGAGCACGATCGCATTCGCGTTCGGCGTCATACAAACGATTGCGCAAACCAAAGAGCTGTCCCTGTAAGTTTTCGACATTGGCATTTGAGTCTCGGAGCTGCTGGCTTTGGGTCAGCAGCTGCACAGTAGCGAAGCTGCGATTAGCGCGATCTTCATCACGGTCGCGCTGGGCAGCTGGGTCCAAAGCACCAGAGAGGCGAGTGAGGAGATCTGTAGCGGCAGCTCCTCGAGCGTTGCGACGCAGAATGGGGGCTTCGGTGCGAGCAGTGGAGCGTGCAAGAGCGGTGTGCTGAATTGGGGGGGGGAGTATGGTCTAACTCGTCCTGAAACTGATCAGAGACGACAGAGTGATTGCCGTCGTCGTCTTCGATGTCATCAAAATCGATGTCGTCCAGGTCACGCGTGCCCGCACGCTCGTTGATAAGTTGATCAATGCGATGTGCACGCGTGACCTCTGGAGGGCAGACACCGTCTCCTGTTGGCTTCGTGGTCTTCACCAGCTGTAGTTCAATGAGTGAGCCGTCTCGCAGTCATAGTATGACACTTCAAATCTTACCTGCTTGAACTTCGTCTCGAGCGAAGTAACTTTGCGTTCAGGCCGGCCATTTGCCTTTGCCCATTGGCCAAACTTGACGTGAATGGCCTGCCATCCACGTTGACCGAGGGGAAGCTCCTGACGGACCATGTCCAGAAGAACTTTGACATCTGAGCTGGTGTAGTTGTTAGAACCTTGAGGGCGTCCTCGCCGAGCATGCACTTCATCGTCGTCTTCAGCGTCCTCTCGGGAACGCTTTTTTGAGTTAGCAGATGCAATGTTTTGGTTGGCCTTACCTTTGCCCCTTGGGCCTTTGACCTGGCGATGAGAGCCCGCCGTTTTGGCCGCCAGAGTGTGGCCACGGGCCTCTGCGATAGTGACAGCATCACTCAAGTCAAGATCGGGAGAGTCGGGTAGCGGGAGGAGCGCAGGATCAATCATTTGGTTAGTCGGCACCTGGCGGAGAGGTACACGGGAACCGGATGGTTGTAAGGGTGGCGCAGTGTCCGAATTGGACTGGAAGTTGGCTGGTGTGAGTGCATAGGTGCCAGGAGGCTGTATATGACACAGTTAGTCAAGCGAAAATACATAGTATGGTGCCATTGACGTACCTTATAACTAAAACCCAGTTGGGGCTCCCCATATTCGAGGCCAAAGGCATGTGAAGTGATAGACTATAGTAGTAATGAGTGTCTGAAAGCATAGATGAGAAAAATGAAACTTACCTTGCATATTCCTGGGTGAGGAACCCAAGCGCCGTCTTCGTTGCGTGCATAGGCATTTCCGGCGTCGTTGTAGCGTAATTCTGGGTAGGATGGGCTACTACGAGGGGGAATCATAGATTGTGGAGGGGGAATGTCAGACATTGTAATTGTAGTAACGTTTGAATTGAGATAAAGCTTACCTTGTTGTCCCCAAGCTTTTATAAGTCCCCAAAGTCCCAAAAATTTTGGTCGTCAGATGCACAGGCGTGTCTTGAAGTTGATAGATAGCGAAGTTCACCCTGTAGTGGTTGCAGTAATACGTTAGCGCATACACACATGGATCAAAGCATTTAATAGAAAAAAACACACACCTAACCTCAAAGGATGGACAGTCCTTGTTACTGGACAGATAGAGGTTGATTGGGGTCGGCATTGCTCAAGTTGTCCCTTGGCCGGTCGCAGAGATATGTGATTGCGCAGTTCGGCTGTTATAAATCTTAAAACTTCAGTACAATTTTCTCCAGGCAGCGTAGGTATTGGACCGCAGTTAAAATCCGTATATTCGAAGACGTTGTGATGAAGCAACGATTGTCACTAAGCTCAAGACAAGTGAGGCGCCGACCTCCGTTGTAGATTAGTCAGCGGATCGCAGGGGCGTTAGTGGCCCAAAACGGATATAATCCGTCTGAATATTCTGTAAGGGGGGGGGGCCCCCCCCCTTACAGATTTAGAGTTTGTAAGAGCCTCAAAAAAATATGTTTTGAACATCCGACGTAAATGAACTGCGGCATCGCGGCACGACTTCCTTAAATGGCATTTTTTATTCTATTATATTCTATTCCGCATTATTTTGGCCTACGGATAGTCACCCACTGTCACATATCCTACACACATATTTATGTGGAACAAAACGGGATTACTCGATACCTACACTTGACCCTTACATCGTTGCACCTCACGCCAATTTGATTACTACCTTTCCGACATGGTGCTGGCTCTCGAGATACACATAAGCCTCAGTAGCCTCCTCGAAGGAAAAGACTTTGTCTACCACTGGGCGGATTTGACGCGCTGTAAGCAGTCGGTTCATGTCCTCAAACCTGCCGGTCACCTGTTAGTACAGTAGAGATATGGAAATTAGATCATACTGTTTGACAGAGCCAATCAAAATTCCCCGGAGAATAATCGTCTTCAAGATCGCAAGGGTCACAGGAATACCGTTATCGCCCTATATGATAAGTGGCATTAATGATACCGATAAAGATGCAGATATGAAGCGTACCCCGGACACAAAGCCGATGATATGAATCCACCCAGCATAGCGTACGGCATTGATAGATTTCAGTATAGTATTGGGCCCTCCGACCTGCATCACGCTCGATTAAGTTCGCCGCAATTGTGCATTTTTGGGTAGACTGACTTCGATGATGTGGTCAACGCCACGGCCGCCGGTCTAAACATATTAGGCGCGCTGATGTGAAGGTCATAAAAATAAACATACGATGTTCAAGACTTCTTCGTCCCATTTAACGTTCTTCTTGTAGTTGATGGTGTGCTGCACGCCCAATTTCTTTGCAACAAGTAATTTTTCATCAGAAGATGACGTGACAATGACGATAGCACCAGAAGCAAGGGCAAATTGGGCGGCGAAGCTATCAGATCCGTTTGTGCACAAGCCAATATTGTCAGTGAACTGTCACATACGTTGAAACACCGCCGGTACCGAGAACAAGAACATAGTCTCCGCCTTTGAGAGGAACGGGTCCAAGACAAGCGTTGTAAGCTGTCAACGCCGCGCATCTAGCGAAGTCTGAGCATGTCAAGATAAGGACAGATAGTCGACCTACGGAAGAGTCGACCCTTCTTCATATGAAAGATATTCTGGGATGCGGACCAGCGACTTAAATAGACACTCGCAACCAATAAGACGCTGAAATGAAAAGAACACATACGTGAACGGGGACATTGATGTACTCCCGAAGCACACCATCAATGTGGCCACCAAGTCCGGTCAATTTGATGTCTTCAGTGACATCGCCATGAATATGATCCAGTGCAAAGTTTGGGCAGACACGATCTCCGATTTTCCACCCTTTGACCTCTTCCCCAAGTGCAACAATCTCACCTGCGCCATCAGAGCAAGGAACGATGTCCCACTTTTGCCTGTAGGATCAGTGTTCAACGTGAATTCCAACTTTTAAACGATACTAACTGTGGGTAAATTCCTTTGGAGACCATCAAGTCGCGAAACTGCACGTGCGTTGAATCTCTGGGAGTTGAATATTTAAATGAGGACAGACCTGCAGGGAGACGGCATGTATTTTGACGGTCACCTCGGTAGCCTTCGGCTTAGAGAGAGTCGCCGATTGAAGTTTCAAGTTCTGATAGCCGTCACCCTACCTCACCGTTTGTAAGTCAATGTCGACCTCTGTTGGTAAGTAGACAAATGACGCGTACCTGGGTGCGATATTCACGAGAAATAGTTGGGAGAGACATCACTGCTTCAGCTGTGTGCGTCACGGTGGGGTAATCTGGTGGAAGATAGGATGTCAATCCTCGCAGACTGCCACTTACTTATAGTGTAAGAATAAGGTTGATGATGGAACCAAGTGTGTGCGAGTTCGTCCTAGTGCGCCTTGATGGCACCTGGGCATCGGACTAGCAATTACTTTTGGTGTAAGAATAAGGTTAATAATGGAATGGAATAAAGTGCATGTGAGTGCGTTCCAGTATAGGTTACCGTCAGGGTATTATGTGAAGGCCGCTACGATAAGTGATGCGCAGCCTCTGGCAAAGCGCAAGTTTTGTACAGTTGGATAATAGTAACATATTGTCCTCCAGAGTCCAATTCAGGCATGAAAATGGTGCAACAGAGTGCATAAATATTTGAAGGAGACTTTGGGAGGCGTTGCGGCTCCCCAGCTAGGCCTAGGGTAAGGTAAACCTGCAAGGCCCAGGGAGGTTAGGCACTGCTTTCAGCTTCATAAGGATTCGTGACCTATTAATATCTTCCGATTCCCACCCTCCCAAAATCGCAGAACCATTACATAACTAAAACCTTTTAACCGACCTTCTATAGTTAGGTCTTAAACTTGACAAGCTTGACACTTCAAGAGCTCAGAAAGCAACCCTAAGAGGGAAGTAAGCTAGCCTTGGTAACAACGTTTATTGTATCGGGTGCCGGGTGTCGTTTACAGTCCGGTGGTAATAAACCAGCAGCTGTGCTCAAGCCGGGCTGCTCAAGTCCATCCTCAATGGGAGGTACAGATGATGATCGTTATCGAAGATCGGATGTCTCGCGCAGCATACATGATGTGTCTGTCCGACGAGTAGTGCGTCCGCTATGCAAGCCGAACCTCTACGCCGTTCATACTCGGCGTAGAAACGGAAAGCTCAAGGCCACTACGCTTGTTGCGCTAGCTGTCACTGCTGGAAGAGCAGTCTGGTTTTCGGAAGCTACCTACGTAACGGCTCCGTCAAGGAAACGACCCGACTGCAAAACACATGCCTTTGTACTGTAACAGTCGGAAAAAGCCTTGTTCTAAGTTCTGGGGGCCTTGGGATCACCACGGAGATGAGCAAAAGATGACGTGAGTTCAAATGGCCTCATGGCCGATGCGATAGGGAAACTCTAGTATACAGGTGGGAAGATGACCCACCTTGGAACCCCCTCCACGATGAGAATTGTCATCGATTAGTTGACTTCACACATCGGGGTGAACGATATTTACAAGAGGTTTATATGTTGTACAAAATGTGAAGACAATATTTAATATTTAAACTAACATAAAGATGGGTGCACGACTTCAAATTTTGGTGGTGTTTTGTGTGTAATCCAAAATATCAAATATTCACAACCATATTCCCACAGACAATATGTCAACAAACATAAGAAATATAGTCAGATTTTTCATGTCTGCTTCAACTTAAAGTTCAATTTCCATGTAAAACTTTGGAGAAAACTTGAAGTTTTACAGATGACATGACATTAAAACTCGATTTAAATGTCAAGCTTTGGCAAAACTTCAAGTTTTCTCCAAAGTTTTATGTAAGAATCAAACTTTAAATTGAAGCAGACATGGAAAATCTGATTATATTTATTATATTTGTTGACATATTGTCTGTGGGAATATGGTTGTGAATATTTGATATTTTGGATGACACACAAAACACCACCAAAATTTGAAGTCGTGCACCCATCTTTATGTCAGTTTAAATATTAAATATTGTCTTCACATTTTGTACAACATATAAACCTCTTTTAAATATCGTTCACCCCGATGTGTCATAATGCTGAGGGCAGTCGCTTTTGTGGATATTAGTGCAAACCACATGCGGTTTGGTCAACCAAATGACAAGAACCGAATATACTAATGCTTATACTCTGGATAGTGTATACCTGTAGTAAAGTAATATCCACATGTACAATTTGTAAACAAAATAAATAGTTCATCGTCACAAAAGAACCACATACGCTAGACCTGATTCAGGGGTTCGTAGCCTCTCCGACTAGAGCCCATACCCATCCGCATGGTGAGTTTGCCGAGTAGACTCTTACTCCTGCTGCTGTGGGAGCCTTCGTGATCGTGCTCAAGGTCACCCCGTTCCGCTTCCTTCCGTCTCTTGGCCTCCTCAAAACCTTCCAAGGGCACATCATACACCTGGCCATACTCCACGCCAAGCTCCTTGCCCATGGTCCAGAAATCCCTGCAGTTCCGTACAGCTCCAAAATCAAATGGATTGCGTGCATGCGAAGTGAGTCCGCGTGCAGCACGTCCACGTGTGAACCGGTCAAGGCCAAGGAGGTTAAGTAGAAAAGCGGTACATGTTCCGGGTGCAGTGAGGGCCCCGCAGAAATTGTGGCTATGTGCCTGTTTGTGGGCACCAGCCTCTGCTTCGCTGTCGGTGTCCCCATTCTGCTGGTGAGCGCCATGGTGGTGCCGATGTCCCATCTGGACACCGGCACCTCCACTGCCAGCAGCGAGGGTGCCGCGACCGCCCATGAAGCCGAAACGCCCGATGTTGGAGACCTCGAACGTTGTTAGCTGCTTGGTCACTTGCCAGTATTGTGTCACAAGGAGCACAGAAGTCCATGTCAGTTGCAGGGCTGACCACAGCGAGACGCAAAGAAGGAAAGCATCCTTCAAGGCTGGCTCGCAGAGGATTGCGGAGCAGTCACCGAATTCGGGCAATGATGTCGACAAGAAATCTGTGATTGCTCAGACGAGACTCTTCAGAAGGACGATGATCAAGAACATACATTCATAAACAAGGTAGTCAAACAATACGATGTCGATGACTAATGTCGAGACAAAGAGTAAAAATTGCCTGTGGTTATTTGCCCCAACTACAAACCGCGTCAAAGTTGGAGTGCCACTATTCAAAGAACTTTACTTACCACAATTCCAGACCCATGGGCAATGGCTATGACAAACGGAGTTCACTTTTGTAGCTCTTTTAGAAAGAAAAAAAAGGACAGGACATACTGATCACTTCGCGCTACACATCGATCACAAACACGACAATGTTTTGACCGTAGGGGTTTCCTTGCCTGTGCAAAAAGTCGACATAAGTTTGCATCTTACAGAATTGACACGCACCATGCATTGTATGCAGAATGTTTGCCCATTGAGTCTGCCCTCTGAAGCAAGGTCTTCGATGATCTACAGTCTCCGTTACCATGTGCAGATTCATTCTAGAACGCTGATATACTCACTGCCTTCAATTCTCCATCATGTGCTGGCCGGGGGCAAAGACCTGGGTCCAAAGTAACGGCACGGAAGAAGTTATACAAACATAGACCAAAGATGATTGCGAAAGCCAGGTGAACAAAAGCATGCGATTCCGTCTCTGAAATGATGTCAGCCCGCGACTGCAAAAGTATAACATATGACGTACGCTGCACAAGTCGTGTTACCCAGCAATAACCAACCCACAACATTGACCCTGCGATGATGCCTGCGAAATATGGGCTCTGGTTTACTGTTCCGACGTAGGTGTTCTTATTCAAGAGTACCCGGGTTACGATCTGCTTGTCATGAGCTATCGCATAATCATGGTAAATTTGTCGCCACTTACATGATGCATGGCAAAAAACTCAGCCATGGCGAGTATAATACCGGTATACCATGGCAGAATAGTAAGCGTTGTAAAAATAAAATATAGAAACAAAGAAGGCAGAATGAAGATAGCGATTTTGGTATGGCGCTAGAGCTGGATCAGACATTACAAAGGAAGACCGAAGGGAGTGAACGGACCTCGTTCAATGGTTTCGCTTTACCTATACCATGTTCCGTTAAGCCACCCTCTTCCATGGCTCTCTTCCACGCGCCTAGGCTCTTCAATTCGACAGCCATGTCTCTTGGTGTACGGCTCTCAAGATCTTTTGCGTGTATGTCTGCCCCCATTTCAATGAGGCGCCGGAGGATAACTCGATTGCCTCGGACCACAGCCCAGTGTAAGGGTGTAAGTCCAGCATCATCTTTCAAGTTAGGATTCGCGCCGTGTTTAAGCAGGAGATCCACAGACAACGCATCGCCTTGATACGCAGCCCACATCAATGACGTATGACCTTGTAAGTCACGAGAATCGACATTCACAGGTTGATGCAATAAGTAAAGGAGCGGCATTACTGATGATGAGTGTGTCACAAGGTGGAGGGAGTTGTAACCTTGGGTGTCAGCGATGGTTGGATCAGCATTGTGGGATATGAGCAGTTGCACGATGTAGAGGTATCCATTGCGAGCGGCCCATTGCAGGGGGGTAGCCTTTAGGTCACCCCCTATTGCGTCTATTTCCGCGCCCTGTTCTATGAGATAGCGGCAGGTTGCAAGCTGGGCATTTATTGCTGCCCAGTGAAGAGGAGTGCTGCGGACGTTCATGAGTGTGGCAAAAGCATTTGGGTTAGGCTTACACGTTCTGGTCATCTCTGTCTGTGACCTTGCACTTTCCTGACTCTACGAGCTCACGAACGGTATTGAGATCCCCGCGTTGTGCTGCCGAGATTATTTCTGCCTGTGTGACCGTTAGTTGGAGCCTGTAAGAGTGGACTAATACTAATTACCACGGGTTCAGCTGGCGGTTGAGAGTAAGATATATTGGTTGCGGTAGCTTCCTCATGAACTACTTGAGTTGTAGGCTCGGATTTTTTGGGTTCATTCATGTCGTTCGTGCGGTCGTTGGCTGTCGTAGTCGTTCGCTCACGAGCTGAATGCTACCCACGTGAGTTTATGACGTGACGACGTGACGTGACTACCATCAATCAACCCTAAGCTCGGGTTAGGGTTCCACGACTTCTCACTCCCTTCCATGACCGCCGCAATAGAAGTGTTCCTGGTACTTGCATCAGGGTATATCCCTCGTCTAAATAGCTCTGGGAAAATTTCTCACTTATATTTTTGAAGAGGCTTTCTGTTCATTAGCTGTCGCATCTTCTTGCAAAAGAAGTTGTACAAGGACCTTCAACAACTCGCCCCGCAAGACACGTTGCCAGGGTCCGCAGTGACCCCGCAATCAAGTAGCACACAACCATGGCATTCAACACTCGCGCAGACGTGTTTCTCACTTTGCTTTTCTGAATGCAGTATCTTATTCTGCATGCTCATGTGTCAGGGTTTGGATTGGTTGGAACCGAGGTGTGTTATAATTTGATTGTGCGAGCGCTTGGCTTTCTGTAATGACTGAGTCGGCACGGTCATAACAGAATTCGCCTTCTAAGCTGGCGAATAGCATTATTCCTTCTATTGTTCACGATGCTTTTACTTGTTCCCATATCGTTCAGCCTCATCCTGACCTACCGGCCTGGTAAGATGCCATATTCCCTCCTGTCTATCCAACCGTCTTCTAATGGTTCCAGATAATCCAGGTTTTGTACAATCTCGTGCATTGCCAATTCGTGTCGCTTTTGCATTAGCACCTGTGGCACTTTTTGTATTTGCCCTTTCATATATTCCACTCCCCGCCGAGCTACTCTTGTACAATCCGCTAACAGCAGTCACTGCACGGCTGGTCACGTTGGGAACCACAGTCCTCGGACTACTATCTGGACTCGGTGCAGTTAGTGGTGCATGGGGCATCATCAATCGGTCTCGGTGAGTGGACGGCTCGACCAGTTGTACTACTATTCAACTTGTGAAGATCAACGCCATCTGCGTCATCTATTGCGTCCGCTGAAAACGCACTTGAAAGAGTAAAGAACGATCTGCGGGATCGTTCTCGTGACTTGGATGACTATGCTAGCTCAAAGGTACTGTAGGCCAACATAAGTCGTCACACTTTGTCTCAAACATTTTAGCCGAAACCAGATGGATCGTGGCTGTCACGCATGTCGTTCAAACGAAATGGACGTACGTATGATCTATCCGTTTCTTCCGAACCTGAATTCACATCCTCAATTCTTTGTAAGAACAAAGCTCGATCCAACAGGAAGTTATTGGTCTTCAAGCTCTTGAAGAGCAAATGAGCCTTCGCGTTGTTGCTCTCAAACGCAACCGAATTGCAGCAGAGTATGCAGAGTCGTTCACGGGCAAAACCATCACGTGGTCATGGGCAGTTTATTGTGTCTGCCGAGTATGTAGTGTAAGTGGTCTTCCCCTCGACTCTGAACCTTTCAGTCATGTTTATCCCAGTCAGCCTTCAATATTCTCTCTCCGACTGTGTCAAACTCGAGTCCCTCTTCCGCATCATATGGAGATATAGTTGCGCATGTACTTGCATGGTTATTCTCTTTTCTTCCCATGTCTGCGACAGGAGACGAAGGAAAATCACAATTTGATATTCCATCTCTATCAAAACAAATAAGCCTTTCCCTTGTGGGCGTCATCATTTTATGTTCTCTCCGCTTGGTGCTACGTGGTGTTACGAGAGTGAGTTGTCTGTTGAACATTCATTTCAGCTATATATTGATGGCACACAGGTATTCCATGTCACATCACGTAAAACATCAGCATCACTGATGTTATTGACCCTCGCACAGCTCATGGTATTGACGAAATTTTCTTCAACGTTTCTCATGTGACTGAATGGGCACCTAGGGCATATATCTCCTGTCGACTCTTGTCCAGCTTCGCACAACCTTTCCGCCCACAGTATCCCCTGTGATAGGCGACTCTCAAGATCCCCAAGATCCGTCTGATGATAGCATGAACTTGTTTGCGACGCTGCCAGAGTACTCGCTATTCGGTGGCTTGTTTGATTGGTCATTCCTGATCGGTGCAGCAGGATGTGCATTTGCTCGCTGGGTGAGAAGTTCATTTGAAGGAGACGACTTGGATGTGTAGTCCTCGAACATTCATTGTACATGTACGCAATTGGCCCATTATTTGGCCTTGTTGAATTCCCAAGGCTGATCGATCGACGTGCGTGCCTAATCCAACTAGGAGTCTGAATCAGGGGCCCGTGCACGGGTAGAATCTCATATAAAAGGGGGCTGTGAATGGCTTTGAATCCCTACCACTCTGGCCTTTGGCTTAGATCAAGTGTAGTATCTGTTCTTAATAGTTTAATCACTATTATGAGGGCACCGCCCTCATTCTTTGGTTATCAAATTTTTGCCGCCCTTGTTTCTCCGAGCTCTGCTTGCAACTTGGAGGACATGATGACCTTGCCACTGCACTATAGGCTGGTGTCGTCGGGGGATTCTTGTTTATGTGATCTTGTCTTCTCTTTGCTATTGAGTCTATCCGTGGCCGCTTGGCCATATCTGGTCCATAGCAAACAGAATACCATGATTGTTTCCTTCGTTGGCGTATATACATTTGCATGGCTCACAGCGAAGCTAAGCCGGCTGTGGTTTGTTATGTACGTCCGTACGTCCATGGGGAACCCCCCACCCACGTACGTATTATTATATTCGCTTGCTCTAACCACTGAAATCCTCTTGGGCAATGAAGTACATTCGATTGACCTGATATATTGAATACATCCTGACATCCCCAATATCGTTGGGCAGTCATCTTGTAAAACTGTTCCACGTCCTTGATTGCGAACTCGCAAGTACTTCAATTTGCGGATGAATAATGTCCATTAGATCATCGATGATGCGTTTATCATGCCAGAAGAAGCGCAACCGGATTAAGAGGATACTGTACGCCCACAGGCCTAGAATCTCGTATCCCCAGACAAATCTCGCAAGAGTAACACACACTTCTTTTAATTTATTGCCAAGGCTGACCGAGCGCTTTTTACATACCTACGTCTATTAATGGTTTCGGCTAGTGCTTATCTTGAAGAACACGAGCAACCTTTGACATACACATCGATTTTTCGGACCGCTGATACAAAATTGATGACTGCCCCGACAAAGCCGTATCCATGACACAAATCTATTGACCTGGGAGCACGTGTGTCCTCAATGTTCAGCTGGGTATTTAAGACGTCGCAGGCTCCAAAGACAGACCAGTAGAAGCACCATGAGTCTTTTAAAAATCCCCTTCCTCGTAGCCTCAGCCATTGGCGTCCAAATTTCATTCACTACTTCTTCTCCGCCACCGTCATCTGAAGAGAAGCTGAAGCCCACCAGGTTGGAAGCCTCCTTTAGCTCCGGTATGACGACTTTCATGCTGGAGATTCTCAAGGTGTGTTGCTCCTGTACTGTTTGTATGGATCTGTGAACAGTATTACAGGTTAGCGCATATACAACACTGTCTGCCGAAGCGGCCAACGTCATTGCCATGCATATAGATCCCTCGAAAATTCCGGAGGGGATCTATGGCGCCCGTGAAGCTGTGCAGCTTCTACGCTCTCTTCATTCCACGCCAATCACTCCCACTTTTCTTGCGTGTAATCTTGCCATCGCGATCGGGGGCATGTTGAGGTTTTATTGTATGTCGACGTTAGGAAAGTTTTGGAGCTTCCAACTCAGCATCAGGAAAGAGCACAAACTTGTGACGAGTGGGCCTTACTCCGTCGTCCGCCATCCAAGCTACACCGGTTACTTTCTCCAATCTGTTGGCATCATCGTTATGTACGGAAGCCCGGGGTCATGGATGCGGCAGTCTGGGATTCTACAAGTGCCTTTCATGACGGCGCTAGCTGTCATTGGCTGCCTCATACATACATTAGGCATCTGGGTTTGCATCAGCCGACCTGCTATAGAGGACAAGATAATGCAAGGTGCTATGGGAGAGGAATGGGAGAACTGGGCGGAGAAGGTGAGATATCGATTGCTTCCTGGGGTCTATTAGTTATCTACATACCGAATGCTTTGTTTGCTTTCCGTACTGTATTGTGTTGATTTGTATTCTATAGGAGTTGATTGTATGTCACTGACGAGGCATAGGTATGACACGAGGTTCGACGCGGTATGTGCTATGGTTGACTATAGGTAAGTGTGAATGTTGATATTAGTACAGAGACTGCGAAGGTGTTTGGGAGAACTTGTCGTGGCATAAGTGGTGCTTGACCCAGCTTAAACGAGGCTCGACATACCCGGGCCATTGTTGAGGCTTGATGTGGTGGTGGATAATATTAGGGTGGGTCGAACTTGACAAGGTGAGGTCGAGGCTTGATGGAGAACACTTGACACTGCATCTGAAAACCAACATCAGAATCTAGATGAATGAATTAGAGGTAATACGACAAACAGGACTAATGCAAGATGCACACCAATAGTATGGACACAGAGGACAAGCGCTGTAAATTTGGTGAGAAGTGAATACATCCCTCTAGGGCCTGTACGCAGGCAGACATTCATACGTTGATCATTAACCAGGCCCATTCAAAGCGTTTGGAATGGCTGTGTACCCTAGGATTTGTTACAGTGCCTATGTGATGAGCATGTGTCGATACTATATTGGAAATGTCGAGTGAGAGTCACGGACTGCATGGACCCAATGAGTCACGGAGGGCGCTTCAGTTGCACAGCATATGCTGTATAAGCTGTGAGCGAACACAACGAGGCACAACAAAGTACCAGGAAGCAGAGAATATAACTGTGACTTGACAGAAACGCCTATCATATACCTTGCTGTCCACACGTCGCTGCTATCCTCGTAAGTGTTGATTCTGGGATTGAATGAATGAAGGCTGAAACAACGCTGCACTAGTAGTAGGAATTCTGGAGCATGTCTTCACCTACCGCTAAAACGGAAGAGACATCAGCGATAACACCCTGCCAAAAATTTAAAGGACACACCAATTTGGTCTGGGGCGTCATACACCTGCCAGGTGGACAGCAGATCATCACTTGTTCAATGGACGGCTCGCTCCGAGTGTGGAACTTGAAGAGCGGGAAACAAATAGGAGAAGATTGGCGGGACGGAGAAGCTGAAGTGTGTTGTATAGCATTGTCTCCGGACGGGAAGATAGCGATTAGCGGAAGTGATGATGGTGCAGTGAGGTTGTGGGACATCGAGACATGCAAAGTCATCGCCAAATGGATGGGGCATACAAACCCAGTGTTATCTGTCTGCTGGAGTGGAGATGGTCGGAGAGTGTTAAGTGGATCCCTCGACGGGACTGCAAGGCAATGGGACGTCGAAAGCGGAGAGACAATCCTCGAGCCAATCGAGACTGGGCACAGTGACGTGTGGGCAGTGGTCTATTCACCAGACATGTCCATGATTGCGACTGGTAGATATGAAGAACCCATCGAGTGCTCCATCAAAATCTGGGACACAAAGACAGGCGAGCTTGTCGCAACTCTCAAAGGACATAAATGATTAATGAATAGTGGGTTGCCTGGCTTGGACCAAGGTTGAAACGTTGAAGGATGGAAAAACTCTCATCTCCGGGTCACAAGATCACTCGATTAGGACATGGAATACCAAAACATGGAAGCAAACCGCACTACTGGAAGTGCCATCATTCGACCATACAGTGCTATTGTGGAACCTCGACGATGGACAACTCATCATCTCGCCCCTACAGCATTCAAATTATGTGGATTGCATGTCATTTTCCGTGGATGGAAAAACACTAGCCACTGGCTGCCACGACGAAAACGCGTACACATGGGATGTTGCTGCGATTGTTAAAGAAGCCGACCTCGATGACCTACATTCGGATCCAAAGGTGAAGCGATATGCATGTCTCATTGTATATATTCTCACAACTGAATGCGCTCTGCCAGGCCAACAAGTTGGCACTCCATGTATGTGACATCTTCATTAAAGGATCTTGTTGTTCTCACCATACATGCTCTAGGCTAGTACTATACGACCTCCAGTGCAACAGCGTCCGCCTAATGATCGAATACCCCAAGGTTTCTTTGATGGAATCCCACCAGATCGTTCCCATGTATGTCATCACTATCAATTCGGTTTTGTTTTCCTGACCTTCATGTTCTCAGTCCTCCGCACGAAACCATCTCCACTCCTCAGAACCGCCAGGCAGCACGTTTCTTGGTCGTTTATTCCACCGCAACCGCAGCCCCTCTGGTGCTCATGCTACATCACCATCCTCCCCTCTCGACTGGGCTCGAAACCTTGTGAAACGGCGTGGGCGAAGCGGTGAAGGTACCGAGTTGCAAGGGTGCAGCCCTGCTGTTGAAGTTCCTCATGCGAAGGGCAAACGTGTATGTTCTCTCTCTTCGGATGTTCACTGGCGACTTCATCTAATATCACATAGAGAAATGCTTCAGCAGGGGAGGTCGCATTTGCAAAAAAGAAACAGAAACAGAAAATGAAACCATCACACTCGCAGATCTCTAATGCAGGAAGCCCACGGCCTCCCAAGCCCAACGTCGCTCAACCATCTTCGCAACCACAGACAGCTAACTCTTCGTCGTCCACCACGCCTGCTGCCGGTGATGCTACCGCAGCTACAGTTTCAGCAACGGCGTCACGCCCTCACGCAACGATAAGAGACGTTGGACTCCGGACTCGCTTCTGGCTCTTCATTGGTTGTATTTCTCCTGAATATACGAACGGTAATCATTAGACCTTCTCATCCTTCACGAGTCGCATGTCTTCACGTCTCTTGATGGACGTGTTCTACCCACTTCCTCTGATGCATTTTGAACCGTCCTTCATGTACGATCGATACGCCCCGCCATCCTCATCGGCAATGTATGCTACCCATACATTTTTCTGTAGCTGGAAACCCGCCGTTGCAACTTGTGACGAACATGTATAGAATTCTAGCTCCAAGATCGTGTCAACTGTTAATGATCCAAAATCCATCCCTCCATCAAATCATATCAAGCTCAATCAACGCCACTACCAAATCATCAAGAATTCGACAGTACTATCGTTCCGAATCACAAGTAACGTGATACTCAGAGTGACTCGTCGAAACTAGTTGCCGAGGTTTGGATTCGACTTGGATGTATGCAAACGGAGACCAGAGCACTCAATTCGTGATATGGTGCGAAAATGGTGTTATCAGAGAAACCAACGATCACCCGATATCAGAATTCATTAACATTCGTGCTGTGTTGTGGTGTTAAAATAAAATAAAATGCCATTTCGTCAACCTCAGATTTTACGTCCGCCGTCTTATCCGGAGGTTCGGGAACTCTAGAGGTGTCTTTAGAATGGCCCTTTTGATCTCTCCCGCAGAGTCGGGCAGACCCAAACGCTTCAAGTCGGACTGTGTTAGCTTGTTGATTTTGCAACCTGGTAAAGCGAACACGATCGGTGAGGGATAAGGACGATTGAAATTAGTCTGCGCGTACCTAGAGACTTGAATAACATGTTGACTCTGCTAAGGTATGAGCTTGGTGCGTGACTATTGTTGCTGAAAGACTTACTTTGTCGGT